AGCATGCCCGATCTGGACTTGGCTAACTAAATCTTAAAACCAGACAGGTCCGTCGCCCCCATCGTTTCCCTCAGAAGGCCGTTCCAATATTTCACCCCTCTGACGGTCAGAAACCTTCGTCTAATTTCAAGCCTGAACTTCCCCACGGCCAGTTTATATCCATTCGTTCTCGTGTCCACATTAGTACTAAGCTGGAATAATTCCTCTCCCTCCCTTGTATTTATCCCTCTGATATATTTAAAGATAGCAATCATATCCCCCCTCAGCCTTCGCTTTGTCAGACTAAACAACCCAAGCTCCTCTAGTCTCCTTTCATACGACAGGTTTTCCATTCCTCTGATCATCCTAGTCGCCCTTCTCTGCACCCGTTCCAGTTTAAGTTCATCTTTTTTAAACATGGGAGACCAGAACTGCACACAGTACTCCAAATGAGGTCTCACCAGCGCCTTATACAACGGAAGCAGGACCTCCTTATCCCTACTAGATATACCTCGCCTAATGCATCCCAAGACAGCATTGGCTTTTTTCACCGCCATGTCACATTGTCGACTCATAGTCGACTCATAGTCATCCTGCGGTCTACAAGGACCCCGAGGCGTTATAAAGCTATGACGGACAGGGAACAAGAGAGGGTCCTTGGGAAATGCGGAGAGGCGTGCATGCGCCTCCAGGGTGTGTGGGGAGACAGAGGTCCGCCGCTTGGGATCATAGATTAGGGTTGGAAGAGACCTCAGTTGGTCATCTAGTCCAACCCCCTGCTCAAAGCAGGACCAACCCCAACTAAATCATCCCAGCCAGGGCTCTGTCAAGCTGGGTCTTAAAAACCTCTAAGGATGGAGATTCCCCCACCTCCCTAGGGAGCCCATTCCAGGATCACAACCCCTGTGAGAGCTGCCCTGGTCTTGCCCAGCTAGATGGTTGGAGGTTTCACCGTTCAGGAGCACCGGGAAGAGATTCCATGGCCTACGATGGTCTGAGATGATTTACAGATTTTTGCATGCACAGTGGAAACTTTCGGCACATGAAGTTTGTACCTGAAACAAACCACTCTTAGGAGCTAGCAGCTTCCCCCTAGAAGCTCAAAACAAAAAAACAAATAAAATAAAATAAATTCAGAAGGCAAATACCCCCGCCTCCAATTTGTCAGCACTTCAGGATTTGGGGTCCTTGACTCACAATCTTTGTACAGAAGAAGGGCCGCTTCTGAGATGAGAAGAGGTCTGGAAAGATTGTCTGCTTGGAACGCCACCACTTCTGAGTCCCCATCTGTGTAGAAAGCGGGGAAAATATATATACAGCAGTTGTGCCAGCGTCTAGACACCTTGCTGCTGTGCTTCTCTGTAGGCTCTTCTCTTCTCTATGGGTCCTTCTCCATAGGTTCTTCTCTATACGCTCTTCGCCTCTCTATAGGCTCTTCTCTATGGTCTCTTTTTTCTATGGGTCCTTCTCCATAGGTTCTTTTCTATGGGCTCTTCTCTATAGCCTCATCTCTATGGGTTCTTCTCTTCTCTATAGGTTCTTCTCACTATGGGTTCTTCTACCGTGCCCTCACCCCCCTTAGATGTATACAGTTTAAGGTCACAATCTGTGGTCCTGTAGGGGCCACAGGACTTCCCTGGGGTTCCCGCCTGGATGATCCAGGGAGTATCCGAGTTCCTTCCCGCAGGCCATTAAGCAACCAGGCCCCGTATCAGACACGTGATTGTCTTCTCCTGGAGAAAGAGGGGCGTGCATTGCAGAGGCTTGTTTTGGTAGGGTTTTATTTAATAAATACATGGGTAGATTTCTAGATTCCAAGGCCAGGACAGATGATTGTGATCTCCCCAGCCAGGCCTCCTGGAAGGAGGGTCTAGTTGTTAGAAGGGGGGATGGCTGGGAGCCAGTAGACCTGGGTTCTCTCCCCGGCTCTGGGAGGGGCGTGGGGGTTGGTGGCCACGTCAGTGTCCCAGCTGCCCCTGCGCCAGCTGCTTCAGGGCATCTCCTTCGACGTGGAAGAAGTGCCAGCCCTCCGCGGTCGTGAGGTCCACCGCCCCCTGGCCCTGGTAGAAGTCGATGGCCGTTCGATTCCAGTCCAGCACCACAAACTTCAGCTGGGTGCATCTGTTCTCCACACCGATCTGAAAAGTATCAACAGGGGGTGGCTGGGAGCCAGGACTCCTGGGTTCTCTCCCCGGCTCTGGGAGGGGAGTGGGGGCTGGTGGGTTGGGGGGGGGGTCTGGGAGCCAGGACTCCTGGGTTCTCTCCCCAGCTCCGGGAGGGGAGTGGGGGCTGGTGGTTATAGCAGGGGAGGCTGGAAGCCAGGTCAGTGCCTCAGTTTCCACCATGGTATAAGTGGGAACAATGATACCCCCTAGGGGGCTGCCTTGCAATCTGAGACCAAGTAAAGGAAGCGACCAGAAGGGGGAAAGGGCCCAATGTCCTGTTACCTCTGCAATTTTACTCATAAGCTTCTTGCCAATGCCTTTACCTGTGTGGGGAGAGAAATCAGTAATTTAACAGCAGGTCTAGTGGTTAGAGCGAGGGGGCGCTGGGAGCTAGGACTCCTGGGTTCTCTCCCCGGCTCTGGGAGGGCAGTGGGGGCTGGTGGTCAGAGCAGGGGGGACTGGGAGCCAGGACTCCTGGGTTCTCTCCCCGGCTCTGGGAGGGGAGCGGGGGCTGGTGGTCAGAGCAGGTGGGACTTGGAGCCAGGACTCCTGGGTTCTGCTCCACTTTTCTGTGTCCTAGCTCTTCCCCTGGGGTGACTGCCTTACAGGCATTGCAGGGGCTGTCTATGGTGGGGACCCCAAAATAATCCCATTCCCGCCCCATTCCCTACCTCTGAACTCAGGCATGACGTACAGGTCTTCCATGTAGATATTCCTGCCTTTCCAGGTACTGTAGGTGAAGAAATAGAGGCCATACCCTACGACGGTGTGTCCTGGGGCGGGGAAAAAAGTCCAACAACTGCCCCCACCTCATGTCCCCCCAAATTCCTCGTACTCTCCCAGCCCCCCCGAAACCTCTCCCCAGCCTCTGAGAAATCCCTTCTCCACCGAACCCCCAATTCCCCACCTCCCAGACCCCCAAATTCCCTTCCCTGCTCCCAGGCCCCCATTCTCCATCCCCAAAGCTCCCCAGGCACCCCCAATTCTCTCCTCGGCTCTAGGAGGGAAGTGGGGGCTGGTGGGTTAGAGCAGGGGGGGCTGGGAGCCAGGACTCCTGGGTTCTATTCCTGGCTGAGTGGGGGGCCTGGTGGCTGTTTTATGGGGGTCCCCTCCACCTTCCCCCCCAAACTCACCCCCCCATCCTCACTGCTCGACCCCCCGACCTCCACTTCTGACCCACCAGGATACAGAGCTGGGGTCAAGGATGGCCCTGAGGGGTGGGTGGGGGGGAGCTACATGTATCAGGGAAAACTGGGGGGCTGGGTTCCCCCAATCTGCCATGGGGCTGAGCTGAGGTGGGGCTGGGCCAGCTTCAGCCTCTTGGGGTCCCCCAAATTATTCCTGTGCCAGGATTCTGGACCCCACAGGTGTCTGGGGGGGTACCTCCCAGGGCGTTGCGGGGAGGGGGGCATTACCGTCTTGACTCCGATGCTCAGGCGGGACCTCGGCCACCAGACATCTGTAGAAAGGGTCGTTGGCGAAACCGTCTTCCCTGAGCACTGGGGAAGGATATTGGGGGGCAGGGGGAGACATGGGGGGAAGGGCAGGAGAGAACCCCATTGTCACTCACAGGCAGGACCCCCCCTCTTAGCCCCCCTCCCATATTGGGGCACCATCAAAGCCCCTTCTCCTGCCCTGGAAGAGGGGGTGCGTGCCCAGGTCCCAAGGGGGGAGGGAGGTATCGGAGGGGGGAAGAGCTCACCTTGGTCGCTGATTTGTACCTGGTCTGGGAGCTCCTCAAACTCCGCCAGCTCCTGGGGGGCAGAAAGGGACTCCACAGGATCAGTCACCCCAAAATTAACCTCAATTCCCCTCTCCGTCTCCATCCCCCAATTCCTCTCCCAGCCTGCCAAACCCTCCCTCCAGCCTCCGAGAAAGCCCTTCTCCACCCAGCCCTCCCGTTTCTCCCCAGCCCCAATTCCCCACCTCCTAGCCCCCCATTTCTACCCAGCCCCCCAAATTCCCTTCCCTGCTCCCAGCCCCACATTCTGCACACCCAAAGCTCCCCAGGTGCCCCCCTTCTATCCCCAGCTCCAGAAGGGGAGTGGGGGCTGGTGGGTTAGTGCAGGGGGGTCTGGGAGCCAGGACTCCTGGGTTCTCTCCCCAGCTCCAGGAGGGGGTAGGGGCTGGTGGGTCAGAGCAGGGGGGGCTGGGAGCCAGGACTCCTGGGTTCTCTCCCCGGCTCTGGAAGGGGAGTGGGGGCTGGTGGTTAGAGAAGGAGGAGCGGGGAGCCAGGACTCCTGGGTTCTGCTCCCCCTTACCTTTATCATCCGCATGACCTCCGCGCAGTCTTCAGCCCTGCAGGGCCGGAGAACACACTCCATTCCCTCTCCTTCGCCGATCGCCTGGGTTCAAAGTCACGGACGGAGGGAGCAGCACCCCGCCTCTCCCTGCGGCTCTCAGAGCTCAGCGGGGAGAGCAGCCGATTGGAGAGAATTTATTGCATTTCCCAGCATGCACTTGGCTCTGCTTTCTATGGGGCACAATTCCCCCACCCCATGAAAGAGGCCCGACCTCCCGCTTTCAACACGGAAATAGCTAAATGGAACACAGGAATCCTGGCTCTCAGCCCCCCCGCTCTAACCCACCCGGCCCCACTCCCCTCCCAGAGCCAGGGAGAGAACCCAGGCGTCCTGGCTCCCAGTCCCCTCTGCTCTGACCCACCAGCCCCCACTCCCCTCCCAGAGCCGGGGAGAGAACCCAGGAGTCCTGGCTCCCAGCCTCCCCCCTGCTCTGACCCACCAGCCCCCACTCCCCTCCCAGAGCCGGGGAGAGAACCCAGGAGTCCTGGCTCCCAGCCCCCTCTGCTCTAACCACCAGCC